TCGCAAGAAGTCAAGGGTATCAGGGCAGAATGAATGAGGGAGGCAAGTCACTGTTGACTTCTTTTCATAATTGTACCGCAATTGTCCAATACCATTTTCAAAATGCTTATTTGATCGCAAGGATTAACTGATTTTTTTGATACAACCGATCGATTCTTGACAACTTTAACAACTTTCTTCACCAATGAATCTTTTTTATATCTTGCTTCCGATTTGCCGTCGGGAATCGATAGATTTTCGGATGAAAGGATGCGAAAATTGCATCATTTCGGTTGTCTGCGGAGAGAGTAGGGCCAAAGGTGTGCATGAAGTGCACCAACGTAAGAAGCACAGTGCACTGACTTAAAACGAGAATGAGTTAAGAATCAAGTGATTGCTTGCATTCAGAACACATCTTCTTCTGGCTGTCTCCTATGCTCAGAAAATTTTTCAAATGGATTTTATCGACGTTTATAGTTGACGAGAAGGAATATACTGGAATGAAGTGCAATAAAAAAAGATTACATGTACTAGATTTATAATTCCGATTAGTCTATCATCGCTCAAATGCATGAACATCGAACCAATGCAGCGGACAGAGTGAAGGGATGGATTTGTTTGATTAGGCCGGTTACATTTCATGGATTACTGGAATTAACGTCACTCATTAAACAAAAAGTAGACTGAAGCTTTTCAGTTGCCTGATTCCACAAATAATGGTTCGTTTTTGGTATGCTGCTTGATGACAGTAGTACTGATGATGAAATCCATAAACACCTGCTCTAGACAAATTTTGAATGTAACCAAGTTTCCTGTAATACTGTCTGACTTATAAACTCACCAAAAAATATTCGAAAATATCACAAAACATTTTAGTCGGCAAATTTTCGAAAAAAATTACTTTGTCAAAAGTGCATTGGTTATAGCATGCTGAAAGACTGATTATATGCTCTTTCGAAGATGTTATGAAGTGGAAATAAATTGGGAGCAGAGAAAGAGGTGAAGATGAATTTGGAACCCATCAAAAGCCTGTCGCATAAACTTATCTAGTTGCATCGTGGGTTTAGGCAATGAGAACTGTGCAGGAATTAGCCATTATGGCAATCTGTAGAGACGCGACAATATTCGTAGAAATATCAAATGCTTGTTACAAGGATTTTACCGACGCTCATCAAAATGAAGTTAATTGTATGTTGCCTGAATCGTTTAATTTCACAGAAATATTTTGAATTGCGTTCCCCTGACCCAGCACATTACTCAAGCATATCGGCAGTCAGTCACTAAGAAAATTTCTGAGAACGTTTAGAAACAAGGCGGCAAGCGAATCAGTTAGTAGAGTAAAGCAATCAAGTGAAATTATTTCAGTGCAAATGTAAGTGCGACAAATCTTACTACCAACTTCTGATGATGTACAATTACGATTGCGGCATCAGTCAAATGGATAAAACGCTTGATCTCATGTATCTGTTATCAATCAAATGGTATCTGTCAATATACCAATTTTATGCACGTCTAAATTCTTGCACAAAGTTACCTTTTTGGTCTTCGTTATCTGCCTGTTTGGTTACCTTCAAAATACGTTCGTTTCAATCTGATGTCATCTTCACGTCATTATGATTTCATACGTTTTTGTTAATCTTTGTTTCACATTCACCGATGAATCCGATTGTGAGTAACTTCAAGTAAACAGATTTATTTATAAAAATTGTTCAGTTGTTTATTCGTCGACAAAATTATTGAATGTTGCGTGACATAATGATGTGAGCGTTTTGATACAAATGAATTAAATCAGTTTGGTGTTTGTTGAAGCATTGTTTAAAAAAATGAATAGGCCAGTTTCAGTTTTGATTTGTGATCAAGTCAAGCAGTGCTGATGCCGAATTTTTAAAATTTTTTTTAATTTTTTCAAATTCAGGTGAGCAAATAAGGGTCTTTATTGCATAAAAACTAACATGCGCATTCATCGACAATCCTCATTCGTCTATTTTATAAAGTATTTACTTATTCACCTGTTCTAAACCTGTTCTAAATAATGCGATACAGTCCTTGATATCACAATACCCAGATGATGCAAGCGTCATTATGATGCCTATAAAAGCACGTAGAGTACGGATGGAGTGAATGCTCCCTTCATTTTCATATATTGCCATTTTTCAACCGGTGTACGCTTGGAGATCAGAAACCCACATCGGAAAACATTCATTGAACCTTCCCTTGTGAGTATGTATTCGTCCTGGTGGATGCTGATTGAACGACCAGTACAGACTGAACGTTCTTTCACTGATTCCTGCAGGGTTTTTTGTCCTATTCAATACAAGCCGCATCAATCATTTCGTAGAACTTCATACGCTAGGAAGCACATGAAGTAACTGATATGTTGTGATTTGAAGGAGAAAACCATCATTTCAAATCCATTCATTTGCGACCTCGTAACTCAATTTCGGATTATTTCTCGAATCAGTTGACCATATTTGGATCCACCCGTTTTGTTCCTTCAATTCGAATTATGTTGAAAATGTTTTGAAAACCCCACATTTATGGAAACGATCAGGAAAACGATATTTAGTCATCCTATTGCACGTAAAATTGTCTTGAACCATTCAGTGAACGCTCCTCACCCTGGCACCCAGCATGCCCTTCTCATATAACCATCACACAAATTGTTACAGTTAGGGTAAGCGGAGAATATTATCCTCTTAATTTGAGAAGTTATCTCCTGATATTGTAGCTCTTTTCATCGTTATCAAGAGAAACAGCCTCGCTGCTACTAATTCAACTGCTAACATCGCGATTAGTTGATTAGTTGTCGGAAATCGTTGAATCTCCAACCCTCGACAACATCGCTCATCTTGATAAAGTCATGCTGACAGATGAAATTAATGATGCTCTAACATTTCCCATTGCTCGCATTGAAATGTACGAAAAACTGCTCGTTCAAAATATCGTCCTCATTGCAGAATGTCTGCATATAAGCTGGATATCCAGCAATAAAAGATTCCCATTTTCAGCGAACCTACTCAGCATTTCAATCGCAGTTGAAACAAGCAAGTAACAAAGACACATCAAATGAAGCTGATAATCATTGTTGGTTTTATTTCTTTGTCTTCTTTAGATCATTTTCACTCTTATCCGAAACTTCATGTCGTGAAGCATGGTATGATGGTGATGATAAGATCCGAAAACCCTTACTGATATTCATTCATGTCCTTACTGATATTCATTCATGTATCTCCAGTAGGTTATCATCATCAGATCACATTCTCAGCTTGAATCAAAAGAATTCATGGAGGAGAATCAACTTTTCAAGCAAAGTGATTCTATAAAGAACTCAACCGGTCGTACGCGGGCCAGTGTATTATACATTGGGTTTATGTAGTACAATAATACTCACACATATAAGCCTAAGCATATCTTTTCAAGGATAGTTCATTCATACTGTGATTTCAGTTATGTGTTGCCATCGTGCAGCAATGTGCAGCAGCATGTAAGTTTGCAACTTTTTCTCATTTACTGTCAATAAAATTTTCACAATAACTAAAATAAGCATACAACGGTCCGTAAAGATCAATCATTGCTATCATCTAGTGCAAATGTAAGAAGTGTTAAACGATGCGCCAAAATAAGTTCGAACCATTCACACAAATAGCTAAACAATTTTTTTAATTTTAGTTGAAAAGTACGCAGTAAAATCTAGTGATCCTCCAAATATGAATTTGCACATTTATTTATTTATTTATTTATTTATTTACTCAGCTATTACTGTACGTTTCGTACCTAAGCCTCTTCAAGATCACTCCAGTTATCACTATTATCACAGTTCATTTCTCTTCTCATCCATGTTTGGCCCGCTATTTTGCAAATATTGTCTCACCATCTCATTTCCGGTCGACCACGACTTCTTTTTCCGATTTCAGGTTGCCACTCTGTGCACCTCTTCAACCAGTTGCTAGTTTCCATTGCTGCAATTTTTCTTGCCCACTTAATTTCCCTTTCCCTTGCACATTTTACAAAGTCTTCAACTTTCGTTACCCCTCTCAACCATTCATTCGATTTCCTATACCGTAATTTTACCCTTACCATCAACCTATCCATCCTTCTATGGGCTACTCTCATCATATTCTCCATTCTTTTTGTCACCTTCCATGTTTCTGATCCGTATAACATCGCGGAAAGAACACATTCATTATACAGACGTCGTTTCAAAGCCATTCCGACCCTCCTATCAGTGAATATACACATTACTATACTGTAATGAGCATCGATGTCACATGAACGGAAGGATGGAAGAGGAAAAGCCATCCGAAGTTATCATACGTTTTCCGTTGTGACTGTTTCTATGAATCAGCACTTCTACTTTTTAAAGTTTAGCAATATCTACTAGCAACCCAAAGTTCCACTTGGAGATATTCTGTGTGATATGCATCAGTGCTTTGTTTTGAGTTTGCTAGGCTGTACTCTTTCTTCGAGAATATTTTGTTCATCCGTGGCATCATGGAATTACAGCAACAGGAACTGTATAACAGATCCGCTAACATTAGACCCTTCTTAACATAGATGGAATTGGAAATGTCACAATTTATCGCATAGTTCCAAATATAATTCAAACCTTTTGAAAGCTTTAAAAAATTTTCGGATCATGCTCATTGAACGCTAATTACTTTCGTTCAGCAGCAGATCTTCTTTTCTACCAGCACAACCCTGTGCGAGAATGACTTCGCGAACTTCCCGATCACTCATGCATGAAGTTTGATAAATTTGAAAAAGAAGATCCCATATTAGAAATTTTAGCGCCGACCAGAGCTGCTAAACGTTTAGCTACCAACATAAAATACTTCCATCGCAATTCGACATTAATAATTTTTGTACTGCAACGGAACGCACCTCGTGGACATTTTTCATGTAATACAAGCGAGACCATAAGTGATGGAAAGAGTCCGAATTCATTGTCAAATTCTACCTAAAAAACGATCGTTTCATCTTTGCTATATTCTCATTACAGCACATTTCAATTTTTTGAGTGAATGTTGAAGCAGGTTCATCAAATGCCTCAAAAGATAATTGTAAGAAAATCATATAGAATTTCGTTGCTTACAGGCACTGAAGATTACGAATGTTTGGACACCGAATTCTGTATCAACGGAATTTGCCAGTCTGGTGATCAGCAAAGAGTATGTGAGTGCCATTTGGTTGTGGTTTCTTTTCAGGAAGTATGCTTCCATATGCAGTTAATTCCATTATGCTACCACACTTGTACGATGAATCGGTGGTGGAAACGAAAAAAAATTTAACGCAGCAACTGTGGTAACGGCTGGTTTTGTTCTTTTAAGGCACTCAGGACTACGAATGCGAAGAAAATGAGTTCTGTATCAATGGTATCTGCACGCAAGGAAACTCTGCCAGAAGATTCCGACGCTCCAGCAACGAAAGAACATGTGAGTGTTACCTATCAAGATATCGGTCAGAGACTGAGAAGGCCTCCTCAAACACTCACTTCCATCTGATTAATTACTAGTCACTTGTTGATAAAGGTCAACGAATAAGTGGATTTGAACAATGAACAGAAAAAATTCATCATCCGATGGAGATGACTAGTTTTCCTTTTTCAAAAGCCGTGATTTTCTTCATTTAAGGCACTCAAGATTACCAATGTGAGGATACCGAATTCTGCATTAACGGAATCTGCAGAGTCGCCCCAGCCTCAAAAAGCAAACGCTCCAGTGGGCAGAAAGTGTGTAAGTTCTTTTCTGCTGTCGATTACATG